AGACGAATTTATTCATTGGAACAGTGAGCAGTGAGTAACCAATCTCCAGGCACACAAGAAAGACGAATACGTACGACACATTGGAACGGTGAGTAACCAATCTTCACGTTCATGTACATTATGATTACGACTTTTTAAAGTGTTCATTAAGTATTTAATTTATTCAGTTTTAAAATACTGATTTGATTTCATTTTATTCTGACTACATACACTATATTGTTAGAACTTTTGATTTGTTAACATGGCTAGCAGACCCCAAACTAGGACAGCCGTTAATACCCCTGACCTGCAATCATTGTCTGACGACTTAGACGATGACGTATATTTTCAGAATCAGGCTATGGCCATGAAAGTGAGAGAATTAGAATACCAGCTTAAAATTAGAGAGCTAGAAGTACAATTGGCCAACGCTGGTAGGCAACCCCAACCCTAAGACAATACCAACAGCCCGATTCACAAAATCCCCAAAATTACGGAAAAGGACGATATTGACACCTATATGACATGTTTCGAAAGGATTGCTCATCAATGCAAAATTCCACTTGAAAAATATGTCCTCAATCTCCTCCCCAAACTCACTGGTAAAGCTAGAGAGGCATTTAATGACATGCCAGATACCCCATCTTCATATGCTGAACTTAAAACAGCAATCCTTTTAAAGTACCAGTTAACCACTGATGCATATCGGAAAAAGTTTCGTCAGACAACCAAACCACTCTATATGTCAACTAAATAGTGGGTTGGCAAATTAGAGCGCGACATAAAACGCTCGTTAACTAGTGCGAATGTCAATATAGAAGACCCCAAAGCGATTTTATATTTTTTTTCTTTTAGATCAGGCCCTTACTAAATTGCCCAATCCCCTTTAGTTAAGGAAAAAGAGCCAAAAACGTCCAAACAACTTTCAAGAATTGCCGATAACATGATTGAAATTAAAGTTAGGACTTGGATTGAATCCATTACCAAAACAGACCCTAAACCATCCCAGTCATCCCAAATGCCCTCCCCCAAGTCCATGACCAGACCACTCTCTGGATACAATACCCCTGTCGAGGTGCCCAAATCGTTTACCCTTGACTTCCCCTCTAGAGGCACACCCACATCCCTAAGGTCCAACTTCTCCGATGCTCCCAAGCCCTTAATGTCACTCACTCCAAGTTTTTCTTCAACCCCTGATGCGAACCCCTACAGTAGTAACCGTACACACCAACCAACAAAAACAAAACCATTTACGCATGTTACAGATATAACACAATAGGACATTTCAGTAAAGATTGCCCCCTTAAAAAATCGAATGGCAACTCCCAATCTTCCCAATGACTAGGATTTTATGTTAGACATGATAATACCAAGAAAAATCCATGGTTATTTCCTGGAAAATTTAACAACCAGGATGCCAAGATCCTAAGGGACACTGGCTGTTCCCAAAGTGTTGTAAGAAGTAATTTGTCCACCCAAACGACTATAAAGGAAAAACCGTAACAATTCGGGGCATCACTGGAAACAGTGTATCCCTCCCTATAGTAGAAATCTATGTTAACTGCAAAGCCTATAATGGTTACTTAATGGCAGCTGTAAGCAATGGCAGCCCCATGGACTTATTGCTGGGTAACGAAATTATGAAAGATAATCCATATGACGTGACCTGGCCTACTGAAATTTTAGCAGTTACACGCAAAGAAGCGCAGGAAAAAGGGAAACAAGAGGCCATTGAATTAGCTGCCTCCCTAAATGTTAAAACCTCCCCAATCACCAACACCCATGCTACACCACTAATAAGTTGCAATCGTGAGCAACATAATGTCCCACCAAAGGCTAAAAAGACAGATGACACAAACAATGAAAACCTAGAACATACACCTTTAAAAATCAACACTGCCCCAGGAACACTAAGACAGAAACAGAGCGAAGACACAACAATTAACAACATTATTACAGACAAAAAAAGCGAAAAGCAACCAAATAGAATCCCAAGAAAAACAGAAACATTATTATGATAAGAAAACATCAACACGAACATTGAAATGTTGGACAAAAAGTAATGCTCCTTCTCCCAGATGATACATCTAAATTGAAATCTAAATGGCAAGGTCCATATCCCATCACAAAGGTTTTAAGTGAGGTTAATTACGAAATCAAAGTTGGCAACAAGTACAAAACATCACATCAACTTACTCAGACTGTACAATGAACGTTCACAAACACCAAACATCGAATGTATGTACACTGAAACCGATTCCGATGGGTGGTTCCCCCTAACCCCCCTTGTCTCCCCTCATTCCAGGCCCAATCATACGTAGATTTCACAATTCCAGACCATTTAACACCTTCCCAGAAAGAAGACCTCAAACAAATCATTTATTCAAAGCCAACCATGTTTACCGATATCCCAGGCAAAACAGAGATGGTTAAACATGACCATAATCACAAATACAAAACATGCAAGAAAAGGGTATAATAGAACCCTCAACAAGCCCCTGGGCTGCACCTGTTGTCTCTGTTCCTAAACCTGATGGCTCCCTGCGTATTTGTACTGATTACAGAGAACTTAATAAATTACAATTATGGATCCGTACCCTACGCCCCGAAAAGATGATTATAGACAAAGTTGGTAATGCTAAATTTATAACTAAACTTGACCTCACACAAGGGTATTACCAAATTGCTTTAACTGATGAAGCTAAACTAAAATCTGGATTCATTACACCATGGGGTCTATACCAATACAAAGTTATGCAATTCGGCATGGCTAATAGCCCAGGTACTTTCCAAAGACTGATAGACAACATTTTGAGAGGTACTGAACATTTTGCTAGAGCATACTTGGATGATATTGCAATATTTAGTAATGACTGGCATTCCCATTTACTTCACATAACTGAAATACTAAACAGACTAAATGCTGCCGGTCTCAGCGTAAAACCTACGAAATGCGAGATAGCCCGTGAAACTGTATCTTACTTGGGCCATGTTATTGGTAATGGACAAATCAAGCCAAGCACTGATAAATTATCGGCCTTAAAGAATTATCCCCGCCCTATCACCAAAACAAATGTCCGAGCCTTCTTAGGTCTTGCAAATTATTACAGAAAATGTATTCCTAACTTTTCCCAAATCGCACTCCCATTAACTGAGGCAACTCGAAAATCCTCCCCAAATAAAGTGGAATGGAGCAAATCGATGGAAACATCGTTTAGAATGTTACAAACAAAATTAACTGATTCCCCTGTATCAATAAGCCATAATTTTGATAAACGATTTATCCTACAATGTGATGCTAGTAATCGCGCTATTAGTGCTGTCTTAACACAATGTGACCATGATGGAAATGAACACCCTGTTGCTTACTTAAGTAGAAAATTGACTAAATGTGAAGAAAACTATGGGATTATGGAAAAAGAATGTTTAGCTATTATGTAGGCCATGTGTATTTATTTGGTCGTGCCTTTATAGTTCAGACTGATCACAAAGCTATTAGTTGGCTTGATCGAATGAAGACTACAAACCCTCGCCTTACTAGATGGACCCCAGCTCTATATGTTTACTGTTCAATATAAGAAAGACTCGCATAACAACAATGCGGATGCTTTGTCTCGAAGTTAAATTTGGTTCTTTACATAATTTGTATTGTTATACAGTAAAAAGATAGGAATAATTTTGTAGTTAAGATTACTTTTATGACATTTTAATTTAATATGTATGTGATTTTGCACATGCCAAATATATCGTATTTAATTAAGTGCAAGGACTATTATTGTTTTAATTAAGTTAAATGAAAGTAAATCAAAGCCAATGTCATAATAGTGTATGTACAATTATGTTTTGATTGGTTCTCCCCACTCCACATCAAGACCGGAGAGGAATTACTGCACTGGAACCAAATTGTGCCTACACATTTAACTATGCCCAGGTAAAAATTCCCATTGAGACCCGTTGAAAAAACTTAGTTGAAAACCCATTGGAAAAATCCAACACGTGTTTTCGCACCCTCTCAACGGGTCCAACGGGTTTTAATGGGTCCAACTGGTTTTCCAACGGTGTTTCAACGGGTTTAACTGGTTTTCAATCCCAACTTGTTCAACGGGTTGCAGGTTCCCAATGGGTTTCCAATGGGTGTTCAATGGGTTTCTAATGGGTTTCCAATGGGTTTTTACTGAGTTTCCTAATGGGTTTTCTAATAGGTTTCCAACTGGTTTTCAATGGGTTTTCTAATGGGTTTTCAATGGGTTGTCTACTATGGGTGTCCAACTGGTTTTCAATGGGTTTCAATTCCAACTGGTTCAACTGGTATTCAAAATGTTATGAGGTCCAACTGCTTTTTCAACTGGGTTTTAATTCTAATTGGCCAACTGTTATCATTAGTAACTCTGAGTCGCTGCAATATCTATTTACTTACTCTATCACCAAATGAATTGAAACAACATTTTTTGTTATTATTTATTACTGTGCATTTATTATTAAATTCCACCAACAGTTACAATTATTATATACATTGACCATTGAAAAATTATGTATCATATTAATATCTAAGTAAATGTAAATTATATATTTCTTTAAAACATTCAATGCAATATTTTAAATTTAAGAAAATATATTTAAAAATCATGCACATTACATTCTATATTTACTCTATAGTTATAACAAGATTTATAGTGTAAGTCATATTGGACAATGAATTAATAATATAAAGAAACAATATGCAATTATTACTAATGTACACTTTAATTACATTGTGTATAGTGAGCAAATTTATAAATACATTAAGGATTAAATCAAATGATTATAGAAGATTACAATGCAATTGTTTTATTTAATTTAAAAAAAAACCTGAATTTAGAAAATATAAATAAATCAATTATGTGCACTTTGCAGAAAACTAAAAAACAAAAACAGATCAATTACTTTTTAACTTGTCAATTATCTTTTGTTAAGTGAGGCACCGATTAAAGTGGGAGCTTTCTCCTTGGTATGGCAGTATGATTACAAATATTGTTGCTTTTTTAAACATTCCTGTAAAAGAAATTGAAATATCACTTATTTTAAAAAAAATATGGTTTAACTTGATTTAAAACAATGGATTGCTAGATATAGTGTGCTTTCAGTGGCTGGAAGCTCTTATAATAATAAAATAATAATAATAGTAGACTTAGGGCAAAAAGAAAAATGTGTTAGATTATCACTCCCACCCGCGTTAAAAAATTGGGAAATATTGATGCGGGAATAAAAGTATTTTTTTTTGCCGCATTATTTATTTTATCAGCATAAAAAAATGATGCAATTTTGTGACGGGAAATACATTTTCTTTAAAAATAATAAAATTAAACTTGTAAATATTCTTGAAAATAAATACAGTCCCTCCCTCATCAATTAAAAAAAAGCAATATTGTATTGTTTTTAAAAAAAAAAAAAACACCCACCCGCATCAATTTTTTTTTTTTTTTAAATAGTGATGATATAATAGTTTTTTCTATGTGCCCTTATATTAGCATATTGTTAGGCCCTCATTGGATTAATGCCTATGGAACAAAGATCTTATAAACACAAGATAGCGTTCTCCGCGATTTACGAGTGCAAATTCTGTAAAAAGGCATGAATGGTGCCCTCTTGCTAAATTGGAAACTTTTGACCCTTGACCGCTCTGACCATACCGTACACCGCGCGACTTTACCTTTAGGGTATCAATCCTCTGAACAGCAGAACAGGAACCATCTCAGATCCATGGCAACTATTAGGACGCCCTCTTCCAAAACTGATTACTTTTTCTCTTTGGTATAATAGCGCATGAATGGCACCCTCTTGCTAAATTGGAAACTTTTGAACCTGACCGACGCTTCTATTTGTTACGCATAAATTGCGGAGAACGCTATCTTTTGTTTATAAGATCTTTGCTATGGAACACAAACTCCACCTCCCTGGGGAAGTATTCTACAACGCTGCAGCAGATACATCAGCGCATGTTGGTTCAGGGTATTTAAATCTACCAGGTACCTACTTATACTCCTGGGTAGAGAGAAGCAATGCAGATCAAATGCCTTGCCCAAGGACACAAGTCAAATACACAGCGAGGGGATTGAAACCCTGACCCTGCGCCAAACCACTTCTACTTATTGACCAAAGCCAGTGGCAATGGACCTTAATGGCCCAGTATATTAATCAGCTTTTTTCTGCCAGACCATAGACCCTCCTTCAAACCATGTGTCATAAATCAGTCATGTATTAACACATCAAAAGAAAAGTCAGTCACCAGAGCAAACTGGAGCTTCTACCCCATACCTCCATATGTGCCCTGCACCTGGCCCTGGCGAAGTATGTGCTTTACGTACAATTAATACTACCTGGAGCCGTAAGTGCCCACACATAGGTGTGCTTTACAGTGTGTGCTTTACATTAATACTTTTAACAATAATACATTTTATATAAAAATTATAAAAATTTACTTATCATTGAGCATTTGAAATACAGTAGTACAGTATATATGTGCTACTGTATCAATCAATCAAACTCTACTGTAGGCCTACAACACAAAAAACCCAAATAATTATGTTTCATGTAATTGACCACAAGGCTTATCTTTAGGCTTAATGTTTACAATTCACATTTAAATTACCTTGTATTTGTATTACCAGGGCTGATCCATCCTTCTGTAGTTGTGAGCACAGGTTTCTCAGCTTCTTTGATAGCTAACAATAGTTGATGGAATAAATGATTTTCACACGTATCTGTGAGATGTGCCAATACTTATCTGAAAATTCAGAGATTTGAAATATGTTACAGTAAAAAACAATTGGTTAATGAGCAACAATTGACAGGATAACCAAAGAATTAGAACGATATCAACTACTAACCATAACTTATCATATCAACTTCTGTCCATCATTATCTGTTATTTTTTTTCAACTTCATTTATGTACTTTCCACACTCTACCATGTTCTGTTGAATTAGAAGACATAAAATGAGTGTAATACAGGTACATTGCAAATTATAAAAAGGGCAATACATTTTTTATTGGGGAGGATAAAACTGTATGCAGCATCAGAAGGTGGCTTTCTAGTCAAAACGGCAATAAACCAAAATGGCAATAAGTCAAAACAGCAACACTTTTTTTACCAGAACGGCAATGGATCAAAATGGCAATAAGTCACTAAATCAAAACGGCAATAAACCAAAATAATAATAATAATAATAATAATAATAATAATAATAATAATAATAATCATGGCCTATAACAACAACATACATACGAACGAATTCAATAATAAAAAGACTGGGGAAACACAATATCAAACAAAGCAGTAGACAATTCAAATAAATAAAACTTTAAAATACATTGGACAAAATATGAGGCAAAACAATTTATGTACAGTAATTAAAACTAAAAAAAAAAATGCGAAAAAAGAAAAATAAATAATAATAATAATAATAATAATAATAATAATTGAAATAATAATAATAATAATAATAATAATAATAATAATAATAATAATAATAATAATAATAATAATAATTGGCAGGCCTATGCCCTAGCCTAACCAAGTAGGCCTAGTAGTAGAGTAGGTAGCTAGGCCCCTAGCATAGGGCTTGGTCCTATTTGTACGAAAAACTAGGTACTTCTAGGCTTGCCTAGGCCTAGGCTAACTACAATTACAGACAGACAGTAGGTCTAGGCCTAAGTTAGCTACGAAGATAGGGTAGGCCCAGTCTGCCCTGGATTTTTATTATTTTTTTTTTACATTAGTATTGTTTTATCGTATTCTTATCTTACCTTTTCTATCGAACACTGCATCATCAGCTGCTGCACCGTCCTAGCTAGCTAGGCCCAGCTAGTAGTACTGGCCCAGCTAGGCTACGGCTTCGTTGGCTAGAGGCTGTATGAAACATTCAATCAATCAAGTTGTGTTGAATATTAAGTCTTGCATCAATGCATTATCCTTTCTTTGTAGTTATCAGTGAGCAAACCAGCTATTATTGTTGTATTTTGTACCTTAAAATCACAGATATTTGTCAATCATTGGTAGCTCCACTGGTACCTGTACACACAATGAATTTGAATGTGGATCATAGGTTTCCATTGGTCAGTTTCGAAGGTTAAAGGAGTGGCCAATGATGACAGGGCATATAATGATGTCATTCACTCCGCTTGTGTGGGGAGTGGGTCGGAAACCTGGAATGCCATATCACTACCACATGGAGGATGACACCAATGGCAATACAAATAATTAAATATATGAATAAATAATTAATTAATGAGGCCTAATAATAAAATGATGATATAATAAATAATAGACCTAATTAAAAGTAAATATTAATTAAAGCAAATTTGTTAACCATTTTATTATGCCATACTACAATATCATCCCTCGGTCCCCCGTTCATCACCGGCCGGAAGTTCAATCCTAGCCAGTAGCTGGATCAGTTGAGGCCAATTGAACCCTTTGATGTCGTACCAATTAGACCAGTTGAAACTTGGAGCCCCATTCTATAACCAATTGGACCAGTTGAAACCAATGCACCTATTGAACATACCAATTGGACCCGTTGATTGATACCAGTTAAACCAGTTGAAAGCCATTTGACCAATTGAAAATATCAATTTAACCAGTTGAACCCATTAGACCAGTTGAACATCCCAACTGGTCTCAATGTTTTTACCTAGGTTTGGATAATACCAGTTAGACCCATTAGATTATACCAGTTACACCCATTTGATAATACCAGTTAGACCCATTGGATAATCCGATTAGACCTATTGGATAATACCAGTTAGACCCATTGGATAATACCAGTTAGACCCATTGGATATTCCAATTAGACCCATTGGATAATACCAGTTAGACCCATTGGATAATACCAGTTAGACCCATTGTATAATACCAGTTAGACCCATTGGATAATACCAATTAGACCCACTGTATAATACCAGTTAGACCCATTGTATAATACCAGTTAAACCCATTGAATAATACCAGTTAGACCCATTGAATAACACCAGTTAGACCCATTCGATAATACCCAGTTGGACCCATTGAACAACACCAGTTGGACCCATTGGATATTACCAGTTCAACCCATTGAACAATACCAGTTGGACAAAATACCAGTTGGACCAATTGGGTAATACCAGTTGAACCAGTTGAAAAATACCAATTGGACCCATTGAACCTCGTTCAACCATTTGGACCCGTTGACAAATACCAGTTGGACCCATTGAACCTCATTGGACCCATTGGAAATGTCAATGGGTTTCAATGGGAATTTTTACCGGGGTGGATATCAAGAAACATTTGACACTTACGTATGAATTGATGCAAGAAATCTATCACCAGTGGCATAATTCCATGGAAGAAAATGATTTTGAATCGATATACTGTACTTTGAACATTTTTCCTGCATTTTATTTTACACCAGAACTACTATGATCCAAGTATTGAACTTCAACACAGAAAATAATGACCAAAAGATTGAAGGTCATAGTGCTACCTAGCAACTGACTGCTTGACTACCGGTTTCAGCATGATTGATGCATCTCTATGGACACAGCCTATTTTGATGTAGCAGAAACTTTATTTATGACCTTTTAAACAAACCTTGGATTGGATTTTGACCTGTGAACATTTTCAGTGACAATACCATAAACAGTTGGCGAACACTTATAAATTTATTTGGTTGATATGCAAGCCTGTGCTGTACTGTACCAATGCAACATTTCTATATAAACTTTGAACTTTGCTTTTGCTAAACCTTAAATTTGATTGCTGAATTTACTGTTATGTATGCTTATATTTTCACATCATCTTTGCATTTTCATTTTAAGTTATTTTTTTATTTTGCTTTAGTTAAGTTTTCTTTTACGGATGGTCCCTATTTAATTACACTGTTGAAATTTAGGATTAATGATTGTTTGGTTTCGAAGACACGGCTTCGAATTGGCAAGCGGGGGAATGTAACATAGTATCCACTGGACATGACCCATAAGCCATTCACCCCTCTCCCTCTCCTGGGTCTACTTAAGTGAGTCATGCATTCTTTACTGGGAAAGTCACTCAGGATGTTTATGCTACATCACTGGTAAGGAATGTCTTGATGAGCCATTGCTTCCTGCCCCCCTGCTGTATATAAGTTACTTTAGTATTTAGGATAGTCAGTTTTGAGTTTTGATTCTTGTGACAACAACATCGGTCCAAAATCATTATACTCCTCATCGTTTTATTAAATTTTATATTGAAGTTATATATTTGGAGCTTTTGTGATACTTTTGCCTTGCCCTCGATCACGCATACCGATACAATGACATTAATGATGATATTACATATTTTTATCTATTTTGTCGGCCATTTTGAATAAAACGCTTTTCCACATATTTCACCTACCTGGATTTTTCTAGACTTTTAATATGTTCAAATAGGGACCTTATAGAAATGCACTGTGGTAAAATAAATTCTGTTGCAATTTTTTCAACCTATCACTAAATTTTACGCTAACTTTCTTGTACTATTGGGCGGGTCTACTAACCCTTGATACAGTGGAAGAATAGCTTCACTTTGTGTGGAATCTTAGGCTATAAAGAAGAATTATGCTCATCATAATACTCAATCAACGACTTCAAATTTTATTTCACAAGCAGCTAGGCCTTCTTATTTATTATTATATTATTATTAATTCAATGCTGCTGCAGCTGTGCATTATCTTTGTGGTTGACCCAACAATGTATATATACGCAATACAGTAATAATAGTAATATTATTAATTAACAAAAATGTCTTTCAACTATTTGATATTTTGATTAAAATTATGTTTTACAGATAAACTGCATTTTTAAGAAATGGTCTGGGAGATTTTGATGCTATGATATTTTTGCATGGTCAAAAACAACTTGAGGTATATAATTATATTAAATCAAAAAATCAATTAATTATTGATTTGTATTTTGTATATTAGTTAATGTTTTGCCAGTTTTAATTAAAGTTTTACTGTATTTAATTTTTTGCTAAGCACTTCCCATTATTCTATGATTTCATAATTTCTATCTCGCTCATATTATACATATAAAACATTAATTATAATAATTATGTTAAGAAGACATAATATGTACTCATGTCAACTTTACAATAATATTTTTGCTTTTTTCTCAATATAAGACATATTTAAAATTATATTTTCATATCCAATATTTCAAATAATATCAGGTAGGGTACTGTATTATAAATTTAAATAAATATTTTACATGGGTTACTTACATTTGCATAGTTCTATTTGTTTATGAAATAATGAAATAGAAAATTTTACATTTTTAAATTATTTTGTAATAGTAAATAGTAATGTAATATAATATCAAAAACATTTTCACTACAAAATAATGTTATATTGAATCAACATTTTCGTGCATATATAAAGGTGTACGAACTTGTCAACCCCTAGCATACAGTACTGTTTGTGCACTTGTGGAGATGTTTATAATGTTGAACTATCCCTTAAGTTTTTTTAATAATCCCCTGGTGATTGATGCATGCATTTTTAGCATTATTATTATTATTTTTTTTTTGTAATTTAGCATACTATATTTAAGAAATACGGTAAATGTCTGGTAGAAATTAAAAGATAATTTTTTTAATACCTGACTCTAAAGGATTATAACTAATGTGTTAATTTTTCCTTCTAGGACATATCTTGGAGAGGTGATGCATGGGAATAAAAGTTGCACAGACATTTGCTACTTTAAAC